CGGGAACCAGCGCAGCGTGGCGATGGGCGGGGGTAGAGCCCCGCCGGAGAGGCTAGGCGGCTGCCGGTGACAGGTGAGTGCGCCAGCGCGTGTCCCCGAGCGCCCTCCCCCCGCGATGGTCGCGTCCGGGCCCCCCGCGGTGCCGCGATGGGCTGTACCACCCGTGCCCGCCGGGGGGACCGCGGCCCTCGAGCCCCCCCTTCCGGAGCTGAGTGGGGGTGGCCGAGCGGGGGCGGTGGGACCAGCCGCGGGGGGCCGGGGGAGGTGGCGGCGGGCCGTACCACTGAGGCGGCGAGGGGAGCGCTGCGAGTGTGCGGGACGGGGAGCGCAGGCCCCAGCGTGCGCTGGCCGGGGGCTGGATCCGTGGGACGCGGCGGGCAGATCGAGCCTGGCGTGCGCGGGCTAAACTCTGGAGGGGGCGCGCCGCATCAAGTGTAGAGGGGTGTACCTTTTTGGCGCTGTGGAAGCCGTTGCTGTGCTGTATTTACAGGGGTGGGGGTTCTTGGGAGCATGCTTCCCGAAGTGTGGCTGGGTAGTATCACCACGGCGTTGGGGGAGCCCTGCTTAGAACGTAGGGGAGCCCAAATCAGAGGAGGACTGTGATGTTTGTGATCTTTAAGGGACTGGGACGGGGCGGGACAGGCCCTAGTGGATTTTAGGGGCGTATTTTGGGAGGACTGTGATTCCGGTTGGTGAGAAGGGGTTTCTGTTTCTTGTATTTGACGTGTGTGGGGTTGGGGGTTTACACTGAGCTCAGCCTTTATTGAACTTCTTAACGACTTTGGAGGGAACATCATGGTTACTGGGGTGCTTTGGACCACGGAGGTGCTGCTCTGGATTCCATTACCCTCTCAGATTTTTCACCAGGCAGTAACAGTTCTTTCCTTCCATAGGGGAGGGAGGAAAGCTGCGTTGGGAGTCACTGAAGTTGTCTGAGCTTTAGGCTCCACATTCGGAAGAGGAAGAGGGATTAGGCTTGGATTTGAGGAGCCGTGCCCCTGGACCAGCTTGTTAAAACTTGGGAGGAAGGAGTGTTTGGGGGAACACCTCTTCCCCCCGGGAAAGCTTTCTGGGGGCATCTTGATCTTAGGATTAGTGAGGACCTCTTCTCATTTGGAGACCTCTTGGGCTCAGCAAGATGCCTGGGCTGGAGTAACTAGGGCCTCCAGTGGGCTGCTTTTCAACCTCATCCACTCCTACTTTTCCAGAGAAGCAGGAGTTCACTCGTGGGCTGACCTTGGTTGGCAGTGGATGTGAAGGGTCCGGGAACCAACGCAGACCATTACATGCTCTTCTGTCGCTGGCCACGAAGCTGTTTGTGTCTCCCGGTTACCAGATCAGTCACACATCATGTTTACACTCCCCACCAAGGCAGTAACAGTTGGCCTTGCAGTGAGGCCGGGAGCTGTTTTCCCAGCTGTTCCTCTTTGCATAGGCCAAGGGGACTTGGAGGGGGGTGCCCCTGGCCCAGCCTGGCCCAAGGAGGAAGGCTGTTCTGAAGGGCTTCGGACAGTCGATCCCCCGTGGATCTGGTGTCTTATTGTGGTCTGTGGACTGGTGCTGGGAGCAGCCAGCCCCAGAGGTCTGTGGCCAGTGTCCCTGCTCCCTAGGCCAGATCATGACCTTGGCTTGCCTTGTAGCCTTTGCTCTGGGTCTGGAGTTCCCGGAGGACTGGCTGCAGTCCCTGATTGACCCAGCAGACCTGGGCTGGTGATGTGGTCGGAGGGGGCAGACGGTTGCCCCTAGTCCGCAGCAGTGATTTCCAAGCTGACTGGCTTCCGTGCCTTGTGGTTCTGGGGAGAAAGGTCCCACAGTCTGTGAGGCAGTAGGGGCTCTGTATAATTTTTCTCCACTAGGGTTTTGTTCCTCTGGTCCTCTCCTTCTGCCACCTTTTAGAGGTTTTGCCTGATGGGGCTAACAGCGGCAGTGAAAACAGTAATCACGAAATTGATGGCTGACAGTAACTGAGTGCATTCTGTGGGCCACACACTGTTTGGAATGCTTCTTAGAGATAAACTTGCTGAATACTTGAATTCTAGAGTGGTAGGCGCTGTTGTTATGCTTTCCGTTTTAGATGAGAAAACAGCAGCTCAGAGAGGCAAATCATTTCCAGAGCTGGTGGATGCCCAGTGTTTACAGCATTCACCCCATGCCAGGCGTGTGACAGGGCTTTTGCACATGTGACCTCACTTAAGTCTCAAAATGTACCTGTGGTCAGGCCTATTTGGTGGAGAGCTACAAGTAGTTAGAAGTGTGATACCATTTTACAGATGAGGAATCATTTCACTCACTGTGAAGTGTAAAGATTTCCCTGAGGTCTGATAGCTGAAGTGGTAGAGGTGTGATGTGAGCCCTTGGCCCACCTTGGCCTCAGATCCTCTTGTCAAGGAGAAACTGGAGCAGTAGCTTTTGTCTATGAGCATATACTCTGCCCAGCCCTGTGCTTCGGGTTTTATATGGTATTTGTGTCCTTTTTTTGCAGAGTCTGAAATTGAAGTTCAGAGGAAGAATTGCCTTCCCCCAGGTCTTATCAGACCCTATGGGCGCCAGGGTGGGATTTGAACCCAGGTCACTGAGCCCCTAGTGCCATGCATTCCTTGCTCACCAGGTTCCAGGCTGGGTGAAAGGAAGGAAAGACATAGGATAGAGTCACCTCTGTCCTCTGTCCTCCACCTATAGAGGTGACTATCCTGTGTCTTTCCTTCCTCTCACCCCTGAGTCTCAGGCTGCCCTGAGCACCTCTGCCTGCAGCCAGTTCAGCAGTTCTTGGTCCCTCCTCAGAGTGGAGCCAGGGCATCCTTTAACGCTGGGCAGGTGTGTGCTGGGAGAAGAAGACAGCAAGAGAGCCATGCAGGCGGTGACACAGCTACTAGGGACCTGCGTTGGCTAGCGGCAGGATGGAGAAGTGGGTTCTAGCTCTGTGGCCTCAGACCGCACTGTTCACTCCCATACATTGGTCTCAGAAGGACACCCACCTTGGGCTGTTGTGAGGATTAAATGAATTAATCCACGAGAAGCTCCTAGAACGGTGCCTGGCACTGTGTAAGTCTTGGTTGGCAGTCATGATTATGTTATGGAACTGAGGCATCCAGCCCCCCCCACCCCCTACTTTTGGTCCCCTTGAGCATTCCAGGATCCAGCTCCCCAGCCTGGCCCAGCTAGGATCCAGAACTTCGATGTTCTGGTTTCCAGCCTCTGTAAAGAGCTGCATGGAAGCGAGTGAGAGCACAGGGTTCAAATCCAGCCCTGCCACTCCATGGTTGTGTGATCTTGAGCAGGCTCCCCAACCCTTCTGAGCTCATTTCATCATCAGTGTCATGGGGAGGATGGTAATTCCCACCTGATAGGATTATTGTGAAGGTTGAGTGGATTAATTTGTGGGAAGCATTCATAACTATGCTGGCATACAGTAAGCCTACCTGAAACGTCTCCTCACTGAGAAGAGTGCCCGACACACGGTGAGCCATTGGTATATCTTAGCAATTGTAATTCTTAGTATTTCTGCCAGGACTTTGAAGGCCCTTGCCAGTTCACAGAACTGTGTCAGAGAGCACTAGGAGGAAATCAGGGCTGAAATTAGCATCTCAGTTTTCCAGATGCAGAAACAGAGGTCGGAGGAGACATGCAATCAAGACAGAACTGACAAGGGCAGCTCCCGGGCCCACTCCGCTTCTACACAGTGGCTTTGCAGCCCTGAGCCCCTACAAGGTAGACACATTCAAGTCTTTTCAGAGGTCAGGCTCTGCTTTTTTTCTTTTTTCTTTTGAGACAGGGCCTCACTCTGTCACCCAGGCTGGCGTGCAGTGGTGTGATCACAGCTCACTGCAGGCTTGACTTCCTAGGCTTAAGTGATCCTTCCACCTCATACTCTTGAGTAGCTGGGACTACAGGTGCATGCCACCATGCCCAGTTAATTTTTAAATTTTTTTGTGGAAACGGGGGTCTTGCTGTGTTGCTCAGGCTAGTCTTGAACTCCTGGGCTCAAGTGATCCTCCTGCCTCAGTCTCCTGAGTAGCTGGGACTATAGGTGCATGCCACTGCCCCTGTCCACCACAGCTCGCAGTTCCAGGAGTGGCAGGAAGGCTGGGCTTGGGCAGGAGAGCAGCAGAAGTGCCTGCAGGGGTTGGCAGGGGCTGTGCTGCACTGGCCTGTGGGCCTGGGTGAGAGGCGAGGATGGATCCTAAGGGTATTGTAGAGCTGAGGAAAAGGTTTCACTCACCCACCACCATTTACTGAGCGCCTCCTGTGTGCCAGCGTTGCATCAGTACTGGAAATACAGCGGTGTGCTTGTCAAAGTCCCTATCCTTGTGGGGCTGAGGGAGGCCAACCCGAAACAGGTGAATAAGCAAGGAGCCGGTTAGAAGGGGAGGTGCTAGGCAGCGAATTCAAACCAGGTGACAGACTGGGCACTTTAGATGCATGCGGCTGCGCGGAGGGCCTCTAAGCTGATCCCAGTTTGGCAAGGTGAGGCAGTCATGTGGGATGGGAGGAGAAGGAACAGCCCTCCAGGTGGAGGGAACCATAGTGCAAAGGTCTGAAGGGAGGACAGAGCTTGGTGAGGTGCAGGGACAAGCCTCACGGAGGCCTGTGTGACTTGGCAGAGCGAGGGAGCAGGGAGGAGATGAGTCCAGGGGCTGCGGGGCAGGCAGGGCCCTGTCACTGGGAGCCTTGTGGACTGTCTGTGAAGGAGTTTGGAATTTCAGCAGGAACAGCCTGGTCAGATTTAGGGTGTTAGTAGGTGACACAGGAGAGGGTCATAGGCTCCTGCCTGGGGGGGGGGGTGGGTAGATTTAACTGAGCGTAGCAGGGCGTTTCACAGGCCTCCCACTTCCCCTCGGGTAGCATCACTGCCTTACAGCCAGCAAAGGCCCGAGGGTTGCCTCCCTCTCCTGTGGTTTTCACACCGTGTTCCCCAGAGCCCGTGGCTGTTACTTTTAGGGAAAGAGGAGGGGAGGCTCGTTGGGCTGATTTCTCTGCCCTTCCCTCCCCAACCCAACCAGCTGGACTAATACTGAATAGCAACGCAGAGCAGCAGTCACACCTGATACAGACAGCACCCGCTGACCCTGCGTCCACGCTACCGTGGGCCTGCAGGCCTGCGCCATTCCCGGTGCTCCTCTGGAATTGGAAAGAGCAGGTCTTGTGACTGGCGCCCAGCACCCAGGTCTCTGGCGGGCCTCAGGTGTGGTTGATATTACGAAGGCAAAGTAAATGAGGGCCAGGTTGAGAGTGTGGTCATGTTTCTCCACTGTAGCTGGGTGATCAGGGAGGACCTCCCTGAGGAGGTGACGTGTGGGCAGGGACTAGAGTGCCGTGAGAGAGCCATGGGAGTATCTGGGGGAAGACATGTTAGACCCGGGAGGAAGCTTCTCTGATTCCCGCCTTAAGCGGTGAGAACTGAAGCCTGGAGAGCCTCTGCAGCTTGTGCTGGGTCCCCCAGCCAGGAAGTGTTGGGGACAGGCTATGAATCTGGGCCTCCAGAGATTCCCGCAGCACAGCTCAGTAGCCCCTGGTGAGTGTGACTTCTGATCCCACCCATGGGCTCACCCCTAAGACTTAGTGCAGGAGCAGGCGCCCTGGCGTTTGTTGTTTTTTGAGGTGTGTTCCAGGGTATCTTCCTAGAAGGAGCACAGCCCCTCAGAACAAATCTCTAGGGTCCCCAGAAACCCCCTGGGATGGGTTGGGATGGAAAGGAGTGTCTTTCAGACTTGAGCTCCAAGCCCCTGGAGGACCCAGGGACACCCCTCCCCGGGCCTCTCTTCAGCTTCCCAGAGCTCTCCGCGGAAGGCCCTCAACCACAGGCCTCCGGGCCGCACGGTGGGGTGGTTCCATGGCAGGCTCTTCTGGATAGCCAGCCAAGCAGCGAGAGGCCCAACTGGGGGAGACAGCCTGGGAGCAGGACCAGGAGGGAGGGAGCGAGTGTGGGAGGGGTGCTGGGTGGGAGCTCAGCCTGGCCCCCTTGGGGCAAGACCCACTGCCAACTCGGCACCCACAGCAGGGCCCGGGTGCTCTGAGTGTGCCGAGTAAGGCACGGCAAGCCAGGCCGGCCAAGAGGAGACTGCATGTCAGAGGTCCCCGCAGGAGTTTCTTCAGCCCAGCCGTCCTGCCGGAGAAGCTCGTTCGCAGATGTTGTTTCTAAGGGTGAGGCCAGAAACCCAAGCCTTCCTTGGTTTGCCACTTCGTGGGCCCTTTCTGAACGGGCTGGGGCAGTTCCTGCTCCCCGGTTCTCCTCTCCAGCCTGGCTTTGAGTTCTTCATGGTCTGGTGGGTCATTGGTGTACCGTTACCCAGCTGGGGCTGCTGAGTGGCCTGGTCCCGGGGGCAGCTGACATGGGTGAGAACCCTGCTCCTGGCACCCCTCTTGGTGGCCGTGGAACCCTGGGGCCTTATTTCATCTCCCTAAGGTACAGTTTGCCCAGCTGTGAACGGGAACCTTCCTGCTGAGTGGGGTGGTGGGGAGGATGTAGGGAGCTGCTGTGTTGGAAAGCACGGGTCTCCTGAGGAGGTGTGGGATGAATTTGGGCTGATGCTGCTTCTGGTGATTGCCAGACAGGATTGAAGGCACCTGAGAGTACAGAAGGGGCTCTGCGGGGCAGTGGGCACGGGCTTGTTGTTGGTCCTTGGGAGAGAGTGGTGGGGCCTGTTAGCTGATGGGAGGGCTCCAGACAGGAGTATGAATCACTCCCACCGCTGCACTCCTGCCCAGCCAGACACTGTGTATGAGCTCTACAGACCTGCACAGCAGCCTGGGAGGTGGGCAGTGTTAGCACCCCCATCTTGTAAATAGGAAACAGGCCCAGGGAGCCACATAGAATGTTGGGGTCATTCTCGTGAGTAGTTTTCTCCTCTGTGTGCTGGGCACTGCTGCAGAGCTTGAGGTGTTTGCTCTTACTCCTCTTCACCACAGCCTGGCAGCTTGCTGTCACGATTGTCCCTGTTTTACCGGGGAGGAAACAGGCATGGAGAGGTTGTTGGATTTGCCCAAAGTCCAATAGGCATGACGGTTGAACCCTGCTCTGTCAGCGAAGCTGCCTGTTGAAGAATGCCTCATCTCCTTGTCCTGCCTGCTGTGACTGGAGTTGTCACTGTTGTCATCAGGATTTCTTTCCTGCTTTCTCTTCTCCTAGACAGACCTGGCACAAAGCAGGCCTCAGTCATCTAGAAATGACTCCATTCCATGCCTGCTCGGGAGGTGGGGTGTGGCTGCTGCTCTCCACCCCCAATACCATGGCCTTGGCCCCTCCTTTTCCCAGAGCCCAGGGGGAAGGGATGAGGATGGGAGGCACCCTGTCCCCGCTGCCCTGGGGGTCTGATTGCTGAACAGCCTCAGGAGCCGGCCCTTCGCTGTTCTTGGTCATTCGTGTATTCCATCCATCACCAAATATTGATTGAATAACTACTGTGTGCCACGTGTAGTTCTGGATGCGATCAGAGGTGGCAGAGAGCTTGTGTTGGCCTGTGAGTGCTTGGTGTGGCTGAAGGAGGGGACAGAGATCTAGCTGGATCTAGAGTGGAGAGAGGTTTGGGAAGGCTGCTGAGGAGCCCCTGTGATGTGAGCCCGAGGAGGTGGGCTGGACAGGGCTGCAGCCAGGTAAAGGCCGCAAGGGGTGGTGGAACAGCAGGCCCATGTGGTTGGAGCCGGGGGAGTGGGTGAAGGGGAGACAGCAGGGTGGCAGGGCTCAGGGCCTAGGCTGTGGTGTGGAGCCAAGGCTTTATCCCCAAAGAGGAGGGACACAGGTGGGTGGGGAGGGACCTGTGTGGGAGAGAGCTGGCTGGATTCAGGTGGCAGCCAGGGATGGAGAAAGCAGACCATATTCTGCTTTGGAGACAGGGTCCCCTAGAGCCCAGCTTCTCAAACTGGTGTCCGAAGGCCTTGGGGGTTGGGAGGAGGTGTCTTCAGGGCGTTGACTCTTTTTAGCTGTGTGTTTTCATTTAGATGATATTTTCAAAAAGTTAACAGGGGTATGTTGGAAATTATCGGGATAATTCCTTTAGAACCAAGTAGTGACAGCAGTAACCTTAGCTGCCACTCCATGGCTCTGACAGGCTCAGGATGGCCCCTCACTTCAGAGTCCTTTATGTAATTGCTACCTGTTTTTCAAGCACTAGCCTTGTCCCCAGCTGTATGTGAAGCCATTTCATTGGGTCCCCAGGACAACCCATGGTTATCAGAAAAATTATCTTTTTAAATTTTTCATTATTTTTTTGAGACAGGGTCTGGCTGTGTCACCCAGGCTGGAGTGCAGTGGCACCATCATGGCTAATTGCAGCCTTGACCTCACGGGCTCAAGTGATCCTCCCACTTCAGCCTCCTGAGTAGCTGGGACCATAGGCACGCACCATCACACCTGGCTAATTAAAAAAAAATTTTTTTTTAAATAGAGATGGGAATCTCCCTATTTTGCTCAGGCTGATCTTGAACTTTTGGGCTCAAGTGATTCACCTGCTTCAGCCTCCCAAAGTGCTGGGATTACAGGCGAGAATCACTGCACCTGGCCTACAAAACTTATCTTTTGAGATAACATAAACACGTGCTTGGGCAGATTGTTAAGATTCCATTCTACAGGCCAGGCACAGTGGTTCACACCTGTAATCCCAGCACTTTGGGAGGCCGGGGGGGGCGGGGGGGGGGTGGTGGTGGATCACGAGGTCAGGAGTTCAAGACCAGCCTGGCAAGATGGTGAAACTCCATCTCTACTAAAAACACAAAAGTTAGCCAGGCATGGTGGTGGGTAATTTTTATCCCAGCTACTCGGGAGGCTGAGGCAGGAGAATCGCTTGCACCTGGGAAGCAGAGGTTGCAGTGAGTCAAGATCTGGCCACTGCACTCCAGCCTGGCGACAGAGCGAAACTCTGTCCCAAAAAAAAAAAAAAAAAAAAGATTCCATTTTACAGCTGCGGAAGCTGAGGTTCAGAGAACCTGTGTAGTGTGGAAGTGGTAGAGTCAGGATTTGAGTTGGCTAGAGGTGTGAGTTTGGGCCTGAGTCCTGCTCCAGTTCCCCAGGTAAGGCGTTGGGATGCGGGAGTGATGGGGTATAGCATGGGAGCTTCTAGCCGGGCTGGGATGATCTGGCTCCTCTTGGGCCTGTGAGAGTCACACTCCCGCCTCCTGCCTTTAGGCTCCTGGTGCTTAAGCTTAATTAGCAGGGATTCTATAGAGCTGCACTCCAGAATGGTAGCTACTAGCCATGTATGGACCTTTTTTTTTGAGACGGAATCTTACTCTGTCACCTAGGCTGGAGGGTGGTGGTGCGATCTTGGCTCACTGCAACCTCTGCCTCCCGGGTTCAAGCAGTTCTCTGCCTCAGCCTCCCGAGTAGCTGGGATTACAGGCGTCCACCACCACGCCTGGCTAATTTTTGTGTTTTTAGTAGAGACAGGGTTTCATCATCTTGGCCAGGCTGTTCTTGAACTCCTGACCTCGTGATCCACCCACCTCAGCCTCCCAAAGTGCTGTGATTACAGGCATGAGCCATCGTGCCCGGCCTCACATATGGCTTTTTAAGTTTTAATTAATTACAATTAAATAAAAGTAAAAAGTCAGTTCTTTAGTTGCACTGGCCATCGTTCAAACGTTTAGTAACCACGTTTCCATCGTTACGGAAAGGTCTGTGGGCTAGTTCTGCTCTGGTTGCGGCCCCTGTCCTGCACCCACTCACTGTGACTGTATGCATGTGACTCTCTCCCTGGGCCTCAGTTTTCCCATGTGAGGAATGGGGACAGTAACACAGGCTGGCTCTGAAGATGAACATTAATCCATGCCTGGCGCTTTGTGAGCACTCACTGAGTATTAGCCTTGATGCAGACCCACCGGTTTCTCCTTCTGCCACTGGGCCCTGTCCCGGAGCTCCCAGGGAGGTGGTGGCGATGCAGAGCGACGTGGGTCAGGGATGTCCCATGCAGTCCGACTGGAGGGCTCCCGCGCATGTGTGCACATCAGGGACGGTAAGGGAGGGCTGGCCGGGATGTAGGAGGAGGTGACACAAGATGGGAGGTGGCCCTGTCTCTTGGGAGCAAAGGCAGAGGGAGGTGGAGGCCACTAAGGGCTCAGAGGACAGGGGTCCGGGCTCCTTGGCTGTGTCCCTGCTGTCTCTAGCTGTAGGTATTCATCGAATCTCTCCCATTCTCGGTTTTCTCATCTGCTGCATACGGGTCCTCATGGTTCTCAACTGAGGCCTGTGGCGAGCCCATCAGGCCAGTGCCCAGGGCTTATTCTGAGGACAGCTCCTGGAGAGGAAGGCTGTCTCCCTAAGGACTCCTGCCCCACCCTGGGTGCAAGGGGTTCCACCTGCTGCCCCTCCCCCACTCCCCAGCGCTCCTCAGGCTGAGAGTTCCCCTCTCACTCCAAATAAGAGCCACAGTGCTGACAGTGGCCCCCAAGGCCCTGCCCAGCGGTCCCCAGCTTCCTCTCTAGCTACATCTCCCAGCCCTCCCCTTCACCAGCTCCTGTGGGTGCCTCAGCCCTGCTCCTCCCCTGCCTGCCTGCAGTGTTCCTCCTCAGGTCTTCCCCTGGCGCTCTCACCTGCTTCCGGTTCTGCTCAGACTGCACAGCCTCAGTGCGCCGTTCTGTCACCATCCTGTTTTAAATCGGAAACCCCTGCTCCCTTTCCCTGCACTGAATCTTCCGAGTGCTCCTTTTCTCCATGGCGTTTGTCAGCTTTGGCTATCCTAATTTGTTTATATGTTTATTTTTTATTTTGCTGCCTGTTCCGTCATCCCCCCGGCTCCCCAATGGCAGGGAGTTCTGTTTTGGTCACTGCTGAATCCCTGGTGACCCGAGCAGTGATGACGCAGGGTTGGTGTGATATTTGTGGAATGAATGAATGCAGGACTTTTTGTTTTACCTTCACTTGGCACAAATGCTGTGGTTCTGTTCACCACTCCTGCCTTGAAATAATGAAAGCTATGGGCCCATCCCTGTGCTGAGTGGAACTGGGGACACAATGGGGGCTAGGACAGACTGTGTCCCTGCCTTGTGGAACTCACAGTCCAGTGGGAGAGGCAACATTACCCACATAGTCATGCAGGTGACAGAGGCAAGTGCTGTGAGGGGAAGGGAAGGCTGAGCTCTGAGGGTCGGCTGCTGGTGGGAGGTCAGGGAAGGCCTCCCTGAGGAAGATGGGTGAACAGAGTGCCAGGCAGGGGGTACAGCAGGTGCAAAGGTCCTGGGATGTGAGAGCGGGGAGTCTTCCTGGGGCCAGGAGAAGGGGAGATTGTGTGTTGGAGCGAGCAGACGAATGAGGCTGGAGAGCAGGCGGGGCCAAGGCAGATGGCCCCTGGCAGCCTCCGTAGGGGCCTTGGACGTGATCCATGGGCACTGGGGAGAGGTCCTGAGCAGGGGAGGGACAGGGTCAGAACTACCTGGAGGATCCTGCTGGTCGCAGCGTGGAACTGTCAGGATATGTGCAGCCCGTGGCCAGGCAGAATAGAATATTTGACATGATTTCTGTGGGTGCTCTGAGGCCCTGGGTGGTGTGAGGGGGAAGGTGTGTTGAGGGGGGTGGTAGGGAGGAGAAGGAATCTGCTCTGTGCTTATTCTTGTCCCTGTTTCTTTTGCAGCCTGCCCACGGCTTCAACCTGCCTCCAGTCCCACCTGCTCCAAGCAGACAGATGGGGCGACTATGGGGAGTGTGGGGAGCGTGTTTAAAAGAAAAAAGAAAAAAAAGTCTCTCTTCTTTTTTTGAGGTACCCAGACCTTTTCAGGAAAAAAAAAAAAGTCTCTTCCGTGCCACCTTCTCACCAAGGAGGTAGAATAGGTAAAAAATTCACCTGTTCAGAAACACAGAGTATAGAAAGTGAAGTTTCCCGTGTCTCCACCCATCAGAGGAAATAATGATTTTTTTTTTTTTTTGAGACGGAGTCTTGCTCTGTCCCCCAGGCTGGAGTGTAGTGGCACAGTCTCTGCTTACTCCAACCTCTGCCTCCTGGGTTCAAGCAATTCTCCTGCCTCAGCCTCCTGAGTAGCTGGGATTACAGGCACCCGCCACCATGCCCGACTAATTTTTGTATTTTTAGTAGAGACAGAGTTTCACCATATTGGCCAGGCTGGTCTCAACCTCCTGACCTTGTGATTTGCCCGCCTCGGCCTCCTGAAGTGCTGGGATTACAGGCATGAGCCACCGCGCCCAGCCAATGATGATAATATTTGATACGTGTTTAGCAGTTGCCCTTTCTGGCTCTTTTGGGAGGACTTTATGTGGATTAACTCACTGAACCCTCCCAATAGCCTTAGAGGTATGTGTGGTTATTATCTCTGATATGCAGATGAGGAAACAGAGGTGAAGAAAGGGAACATGACTTGGTGACTTGCTCAGGGTCCCACAGCAGGTGACACAGCCAGGGCTGAAACGCTGGCATTTGGTTCCTGAGGCTGCCTTGACTCCTGTACCCACTCTCCTGCCTCTGTTAGTGTGGGGTATTTCCTTTGGATTTCTTTTTTCTGTGCGTGTGAGATTTAAACACATACCTCCTCATGCCCTGAAGTCTAAGACAGTGTGTCCTCTAAGGTCCATTATTGATCATACAACTGCTTTTCTGAAAAGAATGCGATAGGTGAGTTTTATCCATGGATTGCGAGGTACATGCCAATCTCAGTGACGTCAGCATGTGAAACAATACACATATTGTAGAATTGAGGTGATAGGACATGTGCGTGTGTGTCTCAGAAAAGGCATCCCACCTGAGTTCTGTTGTGCCGCGAGCCTTCGTTAGCGAATGCTGATGGCCTTAGTGTCGGCACAGCGGGGCTGGTTTCTGTGTTTCTGTGCTCAGGATGGCTTGTTGTGTTGCGTGGCCAGACCCTCTTCACGCGCTGGGTGCTGGGCTGAGCCCTTCCCTGTGTGAGCCTGTGATGAAAGCCCTGCTGTCTGTCCTTGCAGGGACAGGAGGAAACAGAGGCTTGGGAGGCTAGAAAGTGGGCAAGAGAGGACCCCAGTCCAGGTCTGCCTGACTCTGAAGGCTGTGTGGCACGGTGTCGTGGGGGAGCCGGGCCGCCTATACTTCCTGAGATCAGGTCATAGGACAAGTCATTTCACTTCTGTTCCTCAGTTTCCTCATTATCATAGAAACAGTAGGAATGTCTGCCTCAGAGGGTTGCTGTGAGGGTTATATTGGTATGTGCAAAGCACTCAGATGGGCCTGGCACGTGGTATGGGCTATGTGAGCCTTGCTCTTTTTAGTAGTCATGTTATTAACCAATATTATAGCACCGGACCCCTGTTGTGAGCTTTTAGATTGTTGCCAGGTTTCCCTATTTCAGCAGTACATACTTAGGACAGCGGTCCTCAGCTGGTGGTGGTTTTGTACTCCAGGAGACATTTGGTGATGACTGAAGACCTGTGTGATTGTCATAACCAGGGGGAGGGTGTGCTGTTGGCTTTAGTGACTGGAGACCCAGGATGCTGCCAAACCTCTTGAGGGTGCAGAAGAGTCCCCACATCAGGGATTCTCTCTCCCCAAATGTCACTAGTGCTGAGGCTGAGAATTCCCACCTTAGAACCTTTGTGCCCCGGCACTGGCATTTTCTGCAGGAGAAATTCTTCCAAGCACATGGACATTTTCCACTTTATCAATTTTACCAGAATGCCCTCACAAGACGCTGGGACCAGTTTGTAGAGTGGTGAATGACTTGTGGCAGATGAGGGAGCTGGTTCCCTCCTGTCTTGCCCCAGGTGCCTTTCTGCTGAGTTCCCATGAGCAGATGCCGCCTGTTACACCACTAGTTCCTGTTCTCTTTGGCTTTTTTTTTTTTTTTTTTTTTTTAAGACGGAGTCTAGCTTTGTCACCCAGGCTGAAGTGCAGTGGCACAATCTCAGCTCACTGCAACCTCTACCTCCCAGGCTGAAGTCAGCCTCCCACCTCAGCCTCCCAGGTACCTGAGACTACAGGTGCACACCGCTGCGCCTGACTACTTTTTATATTTTTATTTTTATTTTTTTGGCAGACACAGGGTTTCACCATGTTACTCAGGCTGGTCTCCAACTCCTGGGCTCAGGGGATCCTTTCGCCTTGGCCTCCCAAAGTGCTGGGGTTACAGGTGTGAGCCACCATGCCCGACCAGTTTTGTTTTTTTTTTTTTAGTTTGTTTCTTTGTTTTTTGAGACGCAGTTTTGCTCTGTCTCCCAGGCTGGAGTGTGGTGATGCAGTCATAGCTCACTGCAGCCTCAACCTCCTGGGTTCAAGCATTCCTCCTAGCTCAGCCTCCCAAGTAGCTGGGACTACAGTGTGCGCCACCACACCTGGGTAATTTTTGTATTTTTTGTAGAGATAAGGTCTTGCTATGTTACCCAGGCTGGTCTTGAACTCCTGGTCTCAAGAGATACTCTTGCCTCAGCCTTTAAAAGTTCTGGAATTACACACGTGAGCCACCACGTCCAGCTTCCTGTTGTCTTTGAATTTATCTCCTGAGCAAGTCTTCCTCTGAGCACTGTGGAAAGGCACAGATCTGAGTGCAGGTGACAGAGGCTCCTGAGGAGGTCGCTGCCACCTCCCCAGTGAGCCTCCGCAACACCAGGAAGGGAGCCCCACCCACCAGCTCCAGCTCCAAGAGACGCAGATCTCTGCTTCCCCACCTGCCTCCCTAGCCCATCTGTGCTGTCTGGCATCAAAACCAGGTCAGTGAGAGGGGGCGAGAGAAAAAGGACTTAGTAAGTGGCAAGGAAAGGAATTGAGCTTATTTTGAGCCTGTTTCGGGCACAGGGCTTCACTCTGTACACGTTCATTCCACAGATACTTATTAAGTACCTACTCTGTGCCCAGCACCATACAAAGCTCTGGGGATCCAACTGTGACCAAGGCAGCCAAGGGTCCTGCCTTCGCTGTGCTGACGTTCCAGTGCGGGTGGTGGGCAATTAGCGTAAACAAACACATACGGTAACATCGGTTAGGAAGGCTTCTTAAGAAAGGGATGTGACCAGAGGCTGAAGAGAGTGGGGCGGGGCCCGAGTTTCCACCTGAGGGTGCAGTGTGTACAAGGCCCTGAGGTGGACTGTCCTGGTGTGTCCTGGCAGCTGAGGGAGCCAGGCACTGCTGAAGTGAAGTGCCTTCAGAGAAGCAAACGGGGATAGTGCAGGCTGCGTAGGGTCCTGGGGCTGCTTTTACGCTGCACGGCGGTGGGTTCGAGCGGAGGAGGGGTGGGAGCTGACTCAAGTGGTCACAGGGCTCCAGACTGCAGGAGGGGCGTGCGCAGAGTGCTGTCTGACTTCTTTCATTCTGTAACGTTCTCTCACCCCTTCTCTGCTGTATTTAGCAACAGTTCAGTCCTTTTCGTTGCTGAGTAGTGTTCTACTGTGGATCTACGTGTTTATCCATTCTCTCGTGGGTGGACTCCCAGTCTGTTAACCAGTTTGGGGTTACTGTGAGTATTGCCACTGTCAGCATTCTAGTACAAGTCTTTTGTACGTACACTAATTTCTTTGAGAGGAATTGCTAGGTCATGGGGTAGGCATATATTGAGCTTTAATTTTGACTGCTTAATAGTTTTCCACAGTGGTTGAACCATTTTGCAACTCCCACCAATAGTGAGTAAGGGTTCTGGTTCCTCTGCATCCTTGCCAGCACCTGGCCTTGTCAGTTTTTAAAATTCGAGCCATCCCAAGTAGGTGGTTGTAATTTGCATTTCCCTGTAACTAATGAGATTACGTGTGTTTCTTGGTTGTGTGGGTGTCCTCTCCTGTGAGGTGCTCTTGCTCTTTTTACCTTGCCTCCCAGGTGGCTTGCCTTTAGTCAGCAGCTGCAGCTCTGGCCCAGGCCCTCAGAAGACTGATGCCCAGGCACCTTAGGAAGTAGTGAGTGGGGTGGGGTCGTGCAGGGACTCCCCTCGGCAGGGCGTGCTGCGGGGGTTCCACAGGCAAGTCTCTGTCCCCCCGCCTGGTGTCCTCCGTCGGCAGCCCCCCAGTGAGCAGGCCATCTTCTTGGCTGCAGTGGCTGGTATTTCATCACCACAGGACTGCGTCACGAACACCTCAGATGAGGCGCCACCCTCAGTAGGAGGACAGGGAACGATCCAGGCGGGACGCAGGGGATCTTCAACTCCTCCGCCTGCTCTCCCTCCAGCTGTGCTGATTCCTTAGTTGCTGAGATGAGATTGTAAAAAGCAACTCTGTTGATCCCAGCAGCGGCCAGGGCCTCCACTGCTTCTCGGCTGGGAGACCCAAGGTAAACAGCTTCCCTTCTCTGAGCTTCTGTCCTCACCTGGGCATGGTCACCGACTGATGGGGTGTTGGGAACATTCAGGAGTGACTCCATGGGAGCACCGGCACCCTGCCCAAGGCCACCCAGCTGGCGGTGGCTCTCGGACTCTGGAACCCTGACCACTCTTGGTCACACCTGTCTGCCTTTGCTTCTCTCTGGAGTAACGGCAGCCGTGCGTTTGGCTGTTCACTGGGCACCACGCAGTAGGCCGAGTCCTGGGCCCACAGTGGGTGCTTTAGTGCTGCCAGTAGCCCCAGTGCTGCTGCATCACGGGGGCCCTAAGAGTCAATGTCCCTGGGCTGCTGTGGGCCAGCGAGCGGGGAGATGGGACTTGGAGCCCCGGTTCTATTCCCTCCACATCAGCCCTTCCTTTGGACTCTGAGTTCTCCCTCCCAGCGATGTGGGAAGTGTTTTGAACTGAGCTTGCATCAGGGAAGGCGTGGTGTAGGTCCGTGTAGGGGACGGGCTTCTCTCAGTCCCAGCCATAGCCCAGAAGGCCCTTGGTGTTCTCCCCTGTCCACCTCTCTGACTTTCCGCTCACCAGCCCCCCTCCTGCCTCAGGTCCTTGCATTTTGTGTTCCCCTGCTGAAATGTATTTCCTCATGTGTCTACACAGCTCACTCCCTCAGTTAACTCGGGCGTCTGCTCACAAGTCCCCCACACCAAGCTAACTTCCTCTTCTTCCCACTCTCCAGCCTCCCCATCACCTGATGATTTGTGTCTCTGTGTATTTTTCTGCCCCTCCCACCAGACTGTGAGCCTCAGGAAGGCAGGGCTGTGTCTCAGTGACATTCTGTTGCTGGTACCATCTGGAGCCTAGGATGCACCCCAGAAAAGATTGGTGTGGTGAAGAGAGTCTGGTAGTGTGTCCCTGGCTGTGTCTGTTCCCGGGGTGGGGATCCGTTGTGGGCATTTGGCCTCTTTCTTCCTAGATATCATTAGATATCAGATGCTTTGCTGGTCCACTGCCTTAGCGTTGATGGGTGTTGGGAGGGTTGCTTCGAGGGTGCACAAAGCGCACACAGTGCAGCCTCTGAGGTGGGGAAGCCTTCCTGGAGGAGGCACTGGTTTAGCTGAGACCTCAAGGAAGAGGGAGAAGAATGCCCAGAAGGAGGCCCTGTCCCTGATGGAGGCCAGAGGGAAGTGCTTGAGTGACAGAAGCGTAACACGGAGAGTGGGGTGGGGCGGAGAGGTTGGAGAGGTCAATGTCATGGTCCTTAGCCTTTCCCGAGGGCTTTCTAGGTGCACGTCTCAGCTCATGCACCTGGAACGCAGGGCAGCAGAGGCCAGGTCCTGAAGGGTCTTGGATCCTCAGCTGAGGAGTTTGGCTGTTTTCCTCGTAACACCAGGGAGCCACAAAGGGTTTTGAGCAGGAGAAAGACAGGTTCAGCGTTGAGGATCCCTCTAGCTGCTGAATGTGGGGTGAGTGGGAAGGGAGCAAGAGTGGAGCGTAGGAACTCGGGGAAGAGGTGGGGGCAGACCCGACTAGAGCCAGGCTGCCGGCAGCATGGGGAGAGGTGGTCATGTTAGAGGTTGACGCACAGAACAGTGAGAGAGATAGAAATACATACATATACATACATATTTATGTTTTTTGAAACAGGGTCTCATTCTGTCACCCAGGCTGGAGTGCAGTGGTGCGATCAAGGCTCACTGCAGCTTTGACCTCCCAGGCTCAAGTGATCCTCCTGCCTCAGCATCTCGAGTAGCTGACATTTCAGGTGCACACCGCCATGCCTGGCTAATTTTTTAATTTTTAATTTTTTTGTAGAAAAAATTACATAGTGAGACAGGTTCTCACTACGTTGCCCAGGCAGATCTCAAACTCCTGGGCTCAAGGGATTCTCCTGCCTTCCTCCCAAAGTGTTGGGATTATAGGCGTGAGCCACTGTGCCCAGCTGAGATGTGGGGATGTTGAGGATGGAGAGTCTGGCAGTCCTGTGTGTTGGGGTTGTGGGGTGCCGGGCATGTTGCTGGCGAGGGGAGCCCCTTATTGCTGCTGCCAGCCTCACATCATTGCCTTTGCAGCTTGGAGCCCAGAATGTGATTTCTCACCCTCCTGTTTACTTCTCTGTCATTGTCCATCTTGTCTTTCCTCCCGCTTCCTCCCACTTACCTCCCTTCCTTCTGCCTGGGGCCTGGGCAGCCTGCCACTGTCACATGCCAGGCAGTAGCGTGTCCGGCCCACCAGCTCCCCTGGGGCACGAGAGAAAGCTGATGCCCACGGTGTCCCTAGAGCCAGCTGCCACTTCTCTGGGGGCCACCGTAGCTCCCGACCTGCTGTCCGCAAATAACCCCAGGCTGGGAAAGGCAAAGGCGCCTTGGTCTCTGTGGACCCGGGCCAGGCCCCAGGCTCCAGGTAGGGGCCCAGCTGGCGCTGCCTTGCGCCCTCCTCCCCTCTGCTCTGGGAACCTGAGACGAAGCAGTGGCCTCGGCGTCCCTCAGTCTGTCGATTGCTGGTCCCTGAGGACAGAAGTGGAGGTCTTGGGGTAGGGACCAGGGCCTTGGTCAAGCCCCCGGGACTGGCTTCTAGGCCCCAGACCGTGCATACGCAGTAGGTTGCTTTCTTGTTCAAGATCTTGGGCCGTCTGAGACCTGTCTTTACTCTATCATCTGACCGGGGGAGGGAGGCCGCTGAGGCTTGGGGAGTGGCGTGGGATGGCATGGGGGGACGGGAGTGTGCTTAGTTTGTTGAAGGTGGCAGGTTGGTGGCTTCCTGGTTTGGAAAGAAGGGAGGGGGAGGAGAGAGAGAAAAGAGTGCGTGTGTGTGTGTGTGTGTGTGTGTGTAAGATGGGGGGACAGGCAGATGCTGGTGGTTCTGTGTGCACGTGTGTGCACGTGTGTGTGTGTGTGTAAGATGGTGAGGGGACAGGCAGATGCTGGTGGCTTTGCGCACTCCCTCAGGTGCCCTGGGCTGTCTGATTCATACTGGGTTACCTCAGTGTTGGGCCATAGGAGTGACACGGGGGACAGGGCACGGCTACCTCGATGCTCGCTCAGTCAGAAGTGACTGTGGGTGGAGGGGCCACCTCCCCCCAGCATGAGTGTCCTGAGTTCGGGGTCTGGCCTGCGCTTAGGCCAGGGAGCTCTGCTTCCCCAGATTGGGGTCTCTGGGGACATGGCCACATCTCTCTGCTCAGAATGGATCCCTGAGAGCAGGGCTCCATGCCACCCTTGCTGGCCTTACCCTTTGCCGAGTGGGCAGAGCAGCCAGAGGGCCTCAGAGCTCGGTGTCCTCAGGGAAGGGGCTGGTATGGAATCCCCTCCCACCCTGACCAGCTCCTCTCTTGTCTTGCAGACTGTGCCCTGTCCACGGCGCCTCCTGCATGTCCTGCTGCCCTGAGCTGTCCCGAGCTAGGTGACAGCGTGCCACGCTGCCACCATGAACGAGGTGTCTGTCATCAAAGAAGGCTGGCTCCACAAGCGCGGTAAGAGGCCGCTTTTGCCCGCCAGATTGCTTCCTTCTCCCATGCTGGCTCCTCGTGGAAGCTGTGCCCCGAGAGGCAGAGGCAGAGGGTCTTACCAGCCTGAGGAGCCAGCATTCCGCAGCCCCAGACCCACAGCTGCTTATGCCCCTGTTTCATGGACTCCTTCAGCGATCACCTGGGCAGGAGAGTGGGGATCTGCCTGTGCATGAGTGAGCTCATTCATAGCCCCATTTTATAGATGAAGAAACTGAGGGCCAGAGAGGGGAGGTCACATCACTGAAGTAACACAGTGAGGCAGTATTCAGCATTCATTCAGTTAGCAAGTATTCATTGACTGTGTGCTGTGCCAGGTAGCCCTGGGCTCCAGGACACAGTGGTCCTCTGATGGAGCTTACGTTCCAGTGGGGGTGGGGCAGACAGTAAATAAGTAGACATGGAATGTTGAGGTGGCGAGTGCTGGGGTGAAAAGTGGGAACTGTGAGTGAGGGCAGTGGGCTGGGGGCGGGGGGGCATGGAGAGGCTGCCCTGAGGAAAGGGCAGTGATCAGAGGCCTGGAGCCTGGAGGAGGTGAGGCACTGGCTGGGCAAGGGTGTCCCAGGGAGAGGGACAGCAAGGACGGAGGCTCCCAGGTGGGGATGTGCCTGGTGTTTTCTGGTAACAGCGTGGCTGGAGCAGTGTGAGCGAGGGCGAGCTTGGGGAGGCAAGCAGGGGAGCAACGCAGGGTCCAGCCATGTCGCGCCTGCAGGCCATGGAAAAGGACCTTGGCTTTGGCACTCCAGACAAGAGCAACCCTGTGATGTCGTGAGCTGATGCATGATCTAATCCATTTGTACTAGTGGGAAGCTGAGGTCCCCTTTTAGTGAAGTTAGGACAGGAAAGAGACCCTTTTTGACCCCAGGGCTGTTTGTCCCCAAGTGGCTGCCAAGCAAGACTGGGAGGCAGATGGGGAGAAGTGCCACGTGCTGAGAGACGACTTTGTCCCGGGCCAGCTTCCATGGGCCTCCCCCTGGGAGGAAGGGCCCCAGGTGTGGGGGTGGCTGCCCTGTGAGCACTTGCATTCATTCAGCAAACACGAGCTGAGTAGCGCCTGTGGGCCAGGCACCGTTCTAGGTTCCGGGGTCCAGCAGTGAGCCAAACAGGCAAACAGCCCATCCTTGTGTTGGTATCTTGGGTGCTGATGGGGAGGCAGACAGCTCACAGGCAGACAAGCGTGTCACACGGTGGCGCGAGCCATGGAGGAAAAGCAAGCAACGTGAGGATGGGAGGGCCTGAGGCAGACAGGGTGGCCAGAGGGGGCTTCGCTGAGAAGGGGGCATCTGAATAAAGGCCTGAAGGAAGTCGGGGAGTGAGCCTCACAGTTATGCCAGAGGTGACAGCCAGTGAGTCCTGAGTAAGTGATCTTGTTCAGAGAGGAGCAGGAGGCTGACGGCGCTGGCGCCACGGGCATCGGGAAGAGCCGTGCATCCTGCACTGTACCAGCCTGCAGACAGGGAGCAGCGATGAGGGATGGAGGCCCCTCCCTGGGAGCAGTCTCCGCACCTGACTGAGCAGAGGAGATTGGTCTCCTGCTGCTCTTTCTGGACAGAGATGGCTTTCAAGGTCCCTTGGCCTAGTCCCCCAGCCTGAGCCTGGAGTTTGGGGTTGTCGATGGAGCTTCCTGAGCCTTGGCAGCTATCAAGGTTCTAACCTTGGTTCGCTGCTTCCTCTTGGTGTAACTGTGGGCAAGCCATGTCACCTCACTGAGCCTTGGTTTCACATCCGTAAAGTGGGTTAACGAGCCAGACCTCTGATGTCATCAGCTCTACGAGGGTAGGCATTTTCATGGGGCTTCTTCACAGTGGTATCCCCAGCACATCTAAAAATGGTGGGCATATAGTAGGCACTCAGTAAATGGTTGAATGAATGTTTGGCATGGTGAGTGGGTGGTATACTAGTACACAGGGTCATGGGCTCCTGTCCCGTGGCCTGCGCGTGCGGAGGCTGTGGCTCACTAGGCTGGACTGTGAGAGCCTTGGGATGGGTGCGGAACTGTCGGAGGGGCAGGGGTTACTGATGGCATTACATGAGTCTTGGCCTCTTTGGGTCTTGAATGTCCCCATTCATGTTACAAGGGGCCAGATGACCCAGCCACAGGCCTGCTCTGTCATCTGGGATGGCCTAACTCTGACACACCTGTCTCAGGTTTGTAGCCTACACACACGCATGTGCACACCTGCACTCTTTGGCCTTTTCAGTGCCCATCTTTCGAGTAGCAGCTGGCAGAGGTGGGCAAGGTGAGGTGGGCCCTGGGTTACCCGGCCTTGGGGTGATATATTCTATTCACTTTTTGAAGAAGGAGCTGCACCATTTTATATTCCCACCAGCAGTCCATGAGGGTGTCAGTTTATATCCTTGCCAACACTTTTTTTTTTTTCATTACAGCCATCCTTGGGCATGTAAAGTTGTACCTCATTTTGTGTGTGTGTGTGTGTGTGTGTGTGTGTGTGTGTGTGGGTGTGTGTGTTTTCTTTTTTCGAGACAGAGTCTTGCTCTGTCTTCCAGGCTGGAGTGCAGTGGCGCGATCTCAGCTCACTGTAACCTCCGCCTCCTGGGTTCAAACAATTCTCAGGCCGCAGCCTCCCAAGCACTGGGACTATAGGTGTGCACCACCATGCCCGGCTAACTTTTGTATTTTCAGTAGAGATGGGATTTGACCGTGTTGACCAGGCTGGTTGTGAACTGTTGGCCTCAAGTGATCTGCCTGCCTCGACCTCCCTAAGTGCTGGGATTACAGGTGTAAGCCACCGCGCCTGGCCTTCATTGTGATTTTGATTTATGTTTGCCGGATGACTAATGATGCTGAACATCTTTTCATCTCTCTGTTGACCATTTGTGTATCTTTGGAGGAATGTCTATTTGAGTCCTTTGCTCATTTTAAAATCAGGCTGTTTATCTTTTTGTTGTTGGCATTGCAAGAGTTCTTTATGTATTCTGGTTAATAGACCCTTATTAGATTTCCAGGTATTTCCACCCCTTCTGTGGGATATCTTTTTACTTTCCTGACAGTGTCCTTTCATGCACAAAGGTTTTTAATTTTGATGAGTTCACTTTAAGTTTTTCTTTTGTTGCTTGTGCATTTGGTGTCATCTAAGAATTCATTGCCAAATTTAAAGTAATGAGATTTACTCATATGTATTCTTAGACGTTTTTTGTAGTTTTAGCTCTTAGATTCAGGTCAATTCGTTTTGAGTTTATTTTTGTGTATGGTTTGTAGTAGGGGTCCAACTCCATTCTTCTGAATGTGGATATCCAGTTGCTTCAGTTTCTTCATCTGCAGAATAGGGATAAGATTGTGAGGATAGGCTACTCTGGGCACATTGCCTATGGGTCACTGTTCCCTGCTCCGCAAGGAACAGTATTTAAATTAACAAAAAATATTGTAAGGATATTTTTTCTTCTAGGTTTCTTTTCTTTCGTTTTGAAAAAATATAGTCTCTTTGTTGAAGAAACTATTCTTTTCCATTGAATGATCTTGGCACCTGTGTTGAAAATCAATTGAGTATAGATATTTGGCTTTATTTTTTGGCTCTGAATTCTCTTCCATTGGTCTGTATGGCTGTCCTTATACTGCACTGTTTTGATTACTGTAGCTTTGTATAGTAAATTTGAAATTGGAAGGTATTTAACTTTATTCTTCTTTTTCAGTATTATTTTGGCTCTTTGAGGCCTTTTGAAATTCCATGTGAATGTGAGGATTGACTTTTCTATTTCTGAAAAAAGAAAAAGCCTGTTGGAATTTTGATAGGGTTGGCATTGAATCTGTATATTTCTTTGGGTAGTATTGCCATCTTAACAATATTGTCTTCTCATCCATGAACATAGGATATCTTTACATTTATGTAGATCTCTAATTTCTTTTTCTTTTTTTTTTTTTTTTTGAGATGAAGTCTTGCTCTGTGCCCCAGGCTGGAGTGCAGTGGCGCCATCTCAGCTCACTGCAAGCTCTGCCCCCCCGGGTTCACGCCATTCTCCTGCCTCAGCCTCCCGAGTAGCTGGGACTATAGGCACCCGCCACCTCGTCCGGCTAATTTTCTTGTATTTTTAGTAGAGACGGGGTTTCTTTTTTTTTTCTTTTCTTTTTTTTTTTTTTGAGACGGAGTCTTGCTCTGTCGCCCAGGCTGGAGTGCAATGGCCAGATCTCAGCTCACAGCAAGCTCCGCCTCCCGGGTTCACACCATTCTCCTGCCTCAGCCTCCCGAGTAACTGGGACTACAGGCGCCCGCCACCTCGCCCGGCTAGTTTTTTGTGTTTTTTAGTAGAGACGGGATTTCACCATGTTAGCCAGGATGGTCTCGATCTCCTGACCTCATGATCCACCCGTCTCGGCCTCCCAAAGTGCTGGGATTACAGGCTTGAGCCACCGCGCCTGGCCCTGAGACGGGGTTTCACCGTGTTAGCCAGGATGGTCTCGATCTCCTGACCTCGTGATCCCCCCATCTCGGTCTAATTTTTTTAAACAGTGTTTTTTAGTATACAAGCCCTTCACCACCTTGGTTAAGTATTTTTTTGGAGGCTTTTGTAAATTATTATTATTTTTTAAGAGCTAGGGTCTTGCTCTGTCACCAGGTTGGACTGCAGTGGCACCATCATGGCTTGAGTTTCTTGGGCTCAGGTGATTCTCCCATTTCAGCCTCCTGAGTAGCTGGGATTTCAGGCACACGCCACCACTCCTGGCTAATTAAAAAAAATTTTTTGTGGAGACTGGATCTCACTGTGTTGCCCAGGCTGGTCTCAAACTCCAGACTTAAGCCTGCCTCAGCCTCCTAAAGTACTAGGATTTTACAGGTGGGAGCCACTGTGCTGACCTTTAATAGCAATGTGGAGGTAAAATTGATGCACTACATTATTCATCTATTTAAAGTATACAGTTCAGTGGCTTTTAGTGTATTCAGAGTTGTGCATCCGTCACCATAGTCAGTTTGCTTTTGTTTTTGTTTTTGTTTTTTTTTTGAGACGGAGTTTCGCTCTTGTTGCCCAGGCTGGAGTGCAATGGTGCGATCTCGGCTCACTGCAACCTCCGCCTCCCGGGTTCAAGGAGTCTCTGCCTCAGACTCACAAGTAGCTGGGATTACAGGCGTGCACCACCATGCCTAGCTAATTTTGTATTTTTAGTAGAGACGGGGTTTCTCCATGTTTGTCAGGCTGTTCTTGAACTCCCGACCTCAGGTGATCCACCTGCCTCGGCCTCCCAAAGTGCTGGGATTACAGGCGTGAGCCACCACGCCAGGCCCTACTTTTCATCTCTGTAGGTTTGCCTATTCTTGACATTTTGTATAAATGGAATCATAATGATATGTGGTCCCTTTGTGACTGGCTTTTTTCACTTAGCATGAGTTATGGTTCTTCCACATGGCAGCACGTCTCAGTACTTCATTTCTATGACAGAATGGTTTTCCATTGTATGGATCTGCCACATTTTGTTTATCCATTCGTTGTTGTGGACATTAGGGTTGTTGCCACTTGATGGCTTTTATGAATAACGCTGTTGCGGACATTTATGTGTAAGGTTTTGTGTTTCACCATCTCCTTTTAATCCTTAGCAGCTAAGGAGTGGGTTCGTGTGTGTGTGTGTGTGTGTGTGTGTGTGTGTGTGTGTGTAGGGTGCTTGGATATTCGTGGTGAAGAACAGTTGGAAGGAGTCAAGGGGTGCTGGGAGGGTGTGGCAGCAGTGCCACCCCCCTGGCACAGAGGTGTTTTGGCATTTGATCTACCTGCACAGCTTTATTGGTGAGTCCCAGTCTGTGGGATTTGGCCTTACAGGGCCACGGGGCAAGTGTGTTTGGAAGCCTGGGCCTCCCCTGGGACTAGGCCAGGAGCTGGCACAGACAGCTTGCTCCTGCAACTGCCAGGAGGCAACTGGTGCCCCAGGGCACTGCCGTTGGCACCTTCCTGCCAGGCATGACCTGTGGATCACCCGGGCTCAGCCCAGCGCCCCAGCCTGCGTCAGCAGGGGCCACCTGGAGGGCTCCTCCGGGAGAGGCATTCTCATGTGTCCCCCGCACCCCCCCGCCCCGTGGTACCCCTTGTGAGTCACCATCACACTGGGCCTCCTGCCACCCACCTGGGACATCGCTCAACCTTGTCCTAACCTCTCTCCCTCTCCTCCTGCCTCATTTCAGGTGAATACATCAAGACCTGGAGGCCACGGTACTTCCTGCTGAAGAGCGACGGCTCCTTCATTGGGTACAAGGAGAGGCCCGAGGCCCCTGATCAGACCCTTCCCCCCTTAAACAACTTCTCTGTAGCAGGTGTGTCTTGGGATGAGTGAGTGGGTCAGTGTTCTGGTGCTCACAGAATGGCTGGCAGGTCTTAGGGGCTCGTGGGACTTGGTCATTGAGCCTTGGGCCTCTCCTGGGCCTGCCTGCCCTTGGATCCATTTTCGCCCTTCCCGTGCTCTCCCTCCTTGTTAGCTGGCCAGGTGGGGCTGTCCTGCGGGGAGATGCAGAGTGGGAGGGAGGGAGAAGCCAGGGCACTTGCCCACACCCAGCCCCATGCGTCACCTCCTTGTGGTGCCAGCTTCTGTCGGCCAGGCCTTGGGGTCCCCAGCTGGTGGCAGGTGCCTCCCATCCTGCGCTTTGGTAACAGCCTCCATCTTCTGTCCCTCGGACGTAGAGGGGTCTCAGCTTCCCACTCAGCCGGTCACAGGGCTGGCCTCGCAACATCTGTCCCTCCGTGATACCCAAAGGGATGCCTTCCAACCAGACCCTGGCAGTGAAGTTTCACAAGCCCCAAGCCCTTGACTGAGCCTTGGAGAATACAGTCCTATCGACACCCCTGCCCCTTTCCTCCTCCTCCCTTCCTTGCTGACCTGATGGGTCACCATGTCCTGTTGTTCTGCCTGCTAAGAACATGACAGAGGCACCCCCATCTCCACCGCCAGGGCCTTAGCTCAGACCACCGTCCTCTCCTGCCATGCTCTGGAACCCAGCATCCGTCCCATGCTGCTCTGCGTGAAGCCTTTTCCTGGTTGCTCTCCACGTGTGCTGGTGACCCTGACACATCTGTTCCCAGCCTCAGTGTCTCGCTAGAACTCACAGCCTGTCCCAGGCTCCTTGGACACGTCTCCCCGAGTGTCTTCTAGGTCCCTCATACCTGCCACATCCCAACCTGACCGTCAGGCCTCTCCCAGCTTTCTATTCCTGTCTCTGTCTCATGGACAGCAGGCCAAGAGGCCTGGGCCTGGTCCTCAATGCCCTCTCCCCATGGCCTGTCTGCAGGGCTCCACTTTGGTTGGCCCCACCCTCCCTAGCTGGCTCCCCACCTCCCTGGCCTTCTGACCTTCAGTCTCACCCTCTACATGGCAACCAGAGGGATCAGTCTCAATCTGTTTGTGTCCCTACCCTATCTAAAGCCTTCTGTGGCTCCCTGCTGCCCAGAGAACAAAGTCCAGATTCTTTCCCATGGCCTCCAAGGCCCTGCCTGGCTGGCCCCAGCCCACCTCTCCAGGCCTGTCTCTCACTTACCCCTCCTTACCCTTGGAGCAGAATTGGCCACCCGCTGAGGATGTTGAACCTCCTCTCACCTCTGGGCGTCTGTTCTCCATGTACCCTCTAAGTTCCCTTTTCCTTCAGGGCTTAGTTCAGAGAAGCTGCTTCCTCTGGGAAGTCCCCCCATCCCCCAGGCTGGGTTGGATGCTGCCTCTTAGCTTCTGCACACCTCTGGGCTTGTCCCCATCGCGGCCCTGTCTATGGAGCCATCACTCTCTGGTGGGCTCCTCTCTTTCCACACACACACTAGACCCTGAGCCCCGTGAAAGCAGGGCCAGGGCTGTCTCAGTCCCTAGAGTGTCCCCAGCACCATCTGGCATGGGGCTGGGCCTGTGGGAGGTGGCTCGGGCACTTTGGGCTGAAGGCTGGCAGGGCTGTCCCCTCAGCCCCCTGCTGTCTACTCCCTCTGCCTGCAGAATGCCAGCTGATGAAGACCGAGAGGCCGCGGCCCAACACCTTCGTCATACGCTGCCTGCAGTGGACCACAGTCATCGAGAGGACCTTCCACGTGGATTCTCCAGACGAGAGGTGAGTCTGGGCCTCTGTGTGGCTACCCTTGAGAGGGACCAAGCCTCGTGTGAGGAGGAAAGGTACAGATGGAGATTTTCCCTGGGACCCTACATAGGGGTTTCCAGTCTGCAATTCTGGTGGTGAGGGGGGTCTCCCCAGCTGGGGCTGTGAAGAGGTGGGGTTCTTAGTCTGAAGACCCTACTCTGCCCTCAGACTTGCGGGTGCATTGGAATCACAGGCAGAGCTCATGAAAAGTCCAGACTGCTGGGCCTCGCTTCAAGACCTGTGACTACTTGGAGATCTGCCCAGGGTCAGGGAACTACATTCTTTTTTTTTTTGAGATGGAGTTTCACTCTTGTTGTCCAGGCTGGAGTGCAGTGGCATGATCTCGGCTCACTGCAACCTCCACCTCCCAGGTTCAAGCGATTCTCCTGCCTCAGCCTCCCGAGTAGCTGGGATTACAGGCGTGCACCACTATGCCCAGCTTAGTTTTTGTATTTTTAGTAGAAAAAGGGCTTCTCCACGTTAGCAAGGCTGGTCTCAAACTCCTGACCTCAGGTGATCCGCTTGCCTTGGCCTCCCAAAGTGCTGGGATTATGGGTGCGAGCCACCATACCCGACCTTCTTTTTTTATTTTTATTTTTCGAGACGGAGTCTTGCTCTGTTGCCTAGGCTGGAGTGCAGTGGCACCATCTCAGCTCACTGCAGCCTCCGCCTCCCAGGTTCAAGTGATTCTCCTGCCTCAGCCTCCCGAGTATCTGGGATTACAGGCACATACCACCACACCTGGCTAATTTTTGTATTTTTAGTAGAGACGGGATTTTGCCATGTTAGCCAGACTGGTCTCAAACTTCTGGCCTCAAGTTATCTGCCTGCCTCGGCCTCCAAAGTGCTGAGATTACAGGCGTGAGCTATCCTGCCTGGCAGGAACTACGTTCTTAATGAGCATCTCTATTGATTTTGAGGCAGGTGGTCCAGAGAGTCATTTTAAAAAGATCAATTTAGTAATCAGAAGAGATGATAAAGACTCATCTATTTCAAAACTGAAACAGTGTAAGGTGGAGCTTCCCCCACCCTGCCCTTTCCGTCCACCTCCCCGCCCCCCAGTTAATCACTGTTCTTAGGTGCCCTCGAAGAGCAGAGGGAGACCTTTGTGCCCTGCTGCCCTTTTTTTTTTTTTTTTTTAATACAAAAGGTCGCATTGTACATGCTTCTGGACTTGCTTTTCCCTTAGTGTACCTTGGAGAATTTGCCTTGATATATGGAGAGATGCGGCTGCTTTGTTTCATGTTTTGCTTTCACTTTTTTTTGGACAATTGGATATGCGTGTCCCAAGTGTGTTTATTTAGCTGTTCTTTATTGTGATGATGGGGGTTGCTTCTGGCTTTTGGCTCATTATAAGCAATGCTGCAGTGAAATAGCCACGTCTGTCTTGTTCGATGTGTGCACAGGTAGACCTGTGTGACGAGTGCTTAGATGCAGGGTTGCCGAGTCACTGGGAAAATGAGTTTGTAGTTTTACGATGTTTCCATTAGGCGATGTCTGAGAGTGCCCCCGTGGCCTTGTGTTTTCACACATTTGGATTTGTACCAGTCTGAACAGTGGAAAAATTCAACACCTTGGGGTGTTTAACTTTCCTTTCTTTCTCTGTGGATGAGTTTGACCCTCAAGGGCTATGTGAGTTTCCTATTTTGAACTGTCTATATTGTCTATTTTTCTGTTGGATAGTTGGTCTTTTTCTTATTTATGTATTAGCTCTTTATATATTAAGGAGCTTAGTCCTTTGTAATCAGTGGGAAATGTTTCTTTTTCCCACTTTGTCCTTTTGGACCTCACTTTGAGAAACAGTCTTCTAGCTTATCTATGGGGTAAGGTTTCAGCAGACCTTCTGGAGAGCCCTAAAATAGCGCCGTCCAAGAACACTTCCGGCCATTGTGGAAATGCCCTGTGTCTGCACTGTCCAGTAGGCACCTTTGCCGATTGCCTGTGCCAATTGCCTGTGCTGACTGCTTGTGCCGACTGAGCATTTGAAATACAGCCACCAAGGAATGGATTTCTTTAGTTTATTTTAATTGATTTAAATAGCCACATATGGCTAGTGGCTACCTTCTTGGACAGTACAGCTCAGGAGCCTACAGTATCATGAGACTTGTTACTATAATCTATACTATAATTATCGTTGCATATCCTCCCAAGGTAAAAAATATACTTGCCCCACTGAGGGGAACAAAATTACCATTTCAAGCCAGCTGAGGTGCTACTCAGTTGAAAACTATGGACCAAAACATGAATGGCCAATAAAAACAGATCAAAACCAGTAGGTGTATAGGTCCTGGGTGTTGGGGGCTGGGTTTTGAAGACTGGATAGGAGTTGGCCACGGAGATAGCAAGGAAGAAAGTTCAGAAGGGACAGCATATGCAAAGGCCTGGAGGTGAAATAGCTCATACATCCCTGCCACCACAGGGGGTTCTGTGTCACTAGAGAACCAAGGGGCCAGGAGTGTTGGAAGAGCGGAAGTGGAGGCGCTCGAAGCTGGAGAGCTCAGCCAAGGCCTTGGACTCCAGTTAGAGATCCCCACAGGGCTTGGCAGGTGCTTAATAAATTGGGATTTGTCCCAGGGTTGTTACACGATGCAGGGGGATGATAAACAGGAGCGGCTGATGCAGCAGTACCTGGCATAGTTTGCCAGCCTGGAATGGGAGCAGGGAGCCAGCAAAGTGTTTTAGTAGGCAGGAGAGATGGTCTTGTTTCCATTTTCACAAGACAACATGCCCTTTCCTTTACCCAGATTCTGTAGGCTGGAGAGCCCCACCTGCCTTTTCTTCTTGGTACCTGCTGCTGTTGGCAAAGAGAAAACTGCTGGAACTACTAAGAGACCAGGTCCCAGATTTCTGACCTTAACTATGGATGGGTGGAGGGGGTGAGCCAGAAACCCAGCAAGAGGGAGGCCCCCTCCACTCTGCTCCTGGCTGACTGATGCTGTCCTCACAGCTCTGGCCCACGTAGGCTGATGTCAGCTGGCCTCTCTTAAGCCTGGGGAGGGAGGCAGGGGTCGCAGGGTAGGTGGGTGCCAGTTGGTGACTGCTCGTTGGCGAGGTGCTGCAGCACGTCCTCACTGGGCTCCTGGTTGCCTCTCCAGCTTGAGAGACCCTCCTCCCTGTCCCCCACTTCACTGCAGACGTGTTTCACTTGGAGAAAAGTTGAAAGAAGAGTATAATGAATGGACGTCCAGGTGCCCCACTCCTAGACTCTGCAGGCCTGCATTCACCGTGTCTGCCTCATCTGGGTGTGTTTTATGCTGAACTTGAACTTGTGTTCTTACTTAGTGACACTTCTTAGTGTTTCAGTAGGCATCTCCTAAGAATAAGGACTTTCTCCTACAGAATCATGATGCTGTCACGCCTGAGATGATAATAATTTTTGTTTACTAGTAACTTCTCCTTATCCATGCCATACTTGAATTTCTTTAGTTACCTTTTGAAGGATATGCAACCTTTAGAACATTGTTTTTCAAACCAGGATTCATTCAAGGTACATGTCTCTTTGACTTGTTTTATTTAATCTAGTCCAGCCCTTTGTCTTTTTTTTTCCTCCCCAAAGCATTGATTATTTATTTATTTATTATTTTTTTAACAAGCCAGGCTAGTTGTCTTGTAGAATGTCACACCTTCTGGGTGTGTCATATTATTGCCTTTTGGTGTTGTTTACTTTTGTTCCCCATGTCTGTATTTCTTGTAAACTAGAATTAGGCCTAAAACAGGGTTGACAAACTAGGGCCCTGCCTTCCATTTTTGTAAATAAAGTTTTATTGGAACATGACCATGTCCATTTGTTCATGAATAGTCTGACTGCTTTTGGCTTACTATGGCTGAGTTAAGTAGTTGTGACAAAGACTGGCTTGCAAAGCCTAAAAAATTTAAATAATTGGCCCTTTTAAATTTTTAATTAAAAATTTTTTTTTTCTTTTTTTTTTTTTTGAGACGAAGTCTTGCTCTGTCGCCTGGGCTGGAGTGCAGTGGCCGGATCTCAGCTCACTGCAAGCTCCGCCTCCCAGGTTTACGCCATTCTCCTGCCTCAGCCTCCCGAGTAGCTGGGACTACAGGTGCCCACCACCTCGCCCGGCTAGCTTTTTGTATTTTTTAGTAGAGACGGGGTTTCACCGTGTTAGCCAGGATGGTCTCGATCTCCTGACCTCGTGATCCGCCCGTCTCGGCCTCCCAAAGTGCTGGGATTACAGGCTTGAGCCACCGCGCCCGGCAATTAAAATTTTTTAAATTTAAAACTTTTCTTTAAATTGAGACAAGTTCTTGCTCTGTTGCCCAGGCGGTGCAATCATAGCTCACTGCAGCCTCAAACTCCTGGGCTTAACCCATCCTTATGCCTCAGGATCCTGAGTAGCTGGGACTACAGGTGCGCACCACCATGTCTGGCTAATTTTTAAATTTTTTTGTGGAAACAGAGTCTTACTGTGTTGTCCAGGCTGGTCTCAAACTCCTGGTCTCAAGCAGTCCTCCCTCCTCGACCTCCCAAAGTGCTGGGATTATAGGCACAAACCACCACACCCCGCTTTCTGGTCCTTGATGGAAAAAGGTTGCAAACCCCTGGTCTTGGCAGGCAAGAATACTTAATAGTGCATCAGATGAGTATGATCCTTCTGTTGTTGTTGTTGTGACAGGGTCTGTGTTGCCCAGGCTGTGGTGCAGTGGCAGAATCACGACTCACCACAGCCTCAATCTCCCGGATTTAGGTGATCCTCCCACCCCAGCCTCGCTAGTAGCTAGAACTACAGGCGCCTGCCACCACACCAGGCTAATGTTTGTGTTTTTTGTAGAGACGGGGTTTCACCATGTTGCCCAGGCTGGTCTTGAACTCTGGGCTCAAGTGATCCGCCCATCTTAACCTCCCAGAGTGCTAAGATTACAGCCATGAGTCACTGTGCCTGGCTATGTGTGATCTTTTTGATATAAATCTTTTTTTTTTTTTTTTTTCTTCAAGACAAGAGTTTCACTCTTGTTGC